GACCTTGAGCTCAGCAGCCTGACTCATAACCACTATACTACCAGAGTTCCTTTTAGGGATGCAGACCTTCTCTAATACCAAATTAATTTTTTCACTTCACCAGTGTTGGAATACAAATGAGATCATGAGTCATTGTAATTTGATGAACAGAATGTCCTGTCTTTCCCCAGGGTTTTCCTTTACAAATGTTTCCATGCTTACAAATATTGACCATTGTTAATAGTCAACATAGCAGGAGGTGCAGCGTCACTGCCAAGGAGATCTCACTCAGGGTCTGAGGACTTTTGTAGCTATGTGTGCCTCAGCTTCACTCACACCTTCATCTTCTCACAAGGCACCAGATGAGCCACTACAGTGCAGTACTCTCCTCTGACCACCAGCTTCACACCCTCATGTAGCCTTCAGTTCTTTTAGCTGTGCAATGGAGGTAAAGTAATGCCATTGCTTTAATGCATGTGGAATGCAGAGCATGTGCCTGGCATGTGGTTGATTTTTGTCGTTCTTTTCCCTGGAAGTTCATCTTTGACTATTACAAAACGCTTGCTTTTTCCGAACTTCTTCTCCACTTCGAATCTATTCCACACCACTGAGCAGACTTGTGTACCACCTTACACGACCATCAGATCTCCAGGCATCCACAGCACATTGTGCCCCCATGGTTGCACTAATTATGACAGCAACTCTATTCTTGTGGTTGCTTGTTGATGGTCTGAACCTTAGTGCTGTGAAAGCAGGGACTGTAATTGTTCTTTGTAATGTTCTCAGCATTTAGCACAGTACCCAGAACTCAATGAATATATGTGGAGTCAACAAAGAAATAAACATTTATACTTCATAGTTTTCATATGTCAGAAATAAATGCCTTATTTTTTCAGATTTTCACCAGAGTGCTTGGCACGTAGGAGGTCTGATTATTTCCCTCTCTTTTATAGTCTTTAGGGTCTTTAAGTATTATAATTAGTTGTTTTCATTGTGAAACAATATAGTTACATTCTAGAAAATGGCTGCTGTGGGGGAGGCGGGCAGGGACAATTCTGTATATATTTTATATCAGTGTCATACTGATGACCTTTTCCCCTAGGTATATATTTTTAAGTCTATATGCCAAATACGCCTCTCATTTTAATGGAATCCCCATTTCCAGTATGGTTTGTGGAGCAAAGTTTGCATCAATCTTTCTTGTCAGGCAATGGCAGGGATGGAACGGAGTTTGCTCACATGGGTCAAAATCCTAACTGTAAACCTCTTCTAGAGTTGTAGATTTGATTGCGAACAGCTGCCCAAGAGAGTAGCCAAACCCAAAATGAAACAACCTATTCCCTCTTTTCGCCACTGCCATTTCCTTTCAGTATTGGGAACAGAGTGCAACAGGTGGGTTTTAAAAAAGTGGTTGGCCTGAAGGAAATCCAGACAAAGATTTGGACTAATTTACAAACCTCTAGTGACCAATTTTCCATGTGAAACTTCATTCACTATAGCTTACTAAGGAAGCACAAGTAAGCCCTGCTTGCCTTGCTTATTGGGTACTTCATCCTTGACAGGGATTGTCAATTTGAAAAGAGGCCTTGATTCTATAGGAAGGTGCTGAGATTGGGAGAGACAGAATTTTTGATGTGGTGAAAAAATGTGCACTTGTTCACTACAGAGTAGTAAGCAAAGTAAGCACATGCTTGCCTTGTTTATTGCATACTCCAACACTGAGTCCAGGACTCAGAGGCAGTGAGTACAAAGCAAATGTGATTGTACATCAGCTGGGTGGCCTGTTGTGAGATCTGCCTTGTTTCTGGATGGACCTCATGAGGTCTTCCACCCAGGCTGGATTTGTGTGTGTGAGAGGTGGGATGGGAAAAGTGGTAGACTTTCTTCATAATTCCTTTCCAATATAACCCCTCCTAGGGACTCCTGGTTTGGCGCTGTGGGTTAATGCCCCAGATTGCAAAGACGTTTGAACTGTAAAGTATGCAGTTCAAGCTCACCAGCTGCTCCTTGGAAACGCTATACAGGGTCGCTATGGGTCAGAACTGACTCAATGGCACTTAATAACAAGGAAGGCTCAAACGTGGCAACAGTAGTGAGGTTGGCCCAGGATCAGGCAGTGTTTCGTTCTGCTGTGCATAAGGTCGCTGTGAGTCAGTACTGACTCGATGGCACCTAACAACAACAACAACAACAACAACAACAACAAGGACTCCGCAGTGGGTTAAGTGTTGGTTGCTAACCAAAAGGTTGGCGGTTTGAACCCAACACTCCTCAGGAGGAAAATGAGGCCATCTGCTCCTGTAAAGATTTACAGCCTCAGAAACCATATGAGGTAGTTCTATTCTGTCCTGTAGGGTCCCTATAGGTCAGAATCAACTTGAAGGCTGTGGGCTTGCATTTTAAAAAGAAATCTGTGAACCCTGGTGGTACCGCGGCGCTTAAAGTAACACCACATGTTACTAATATCAATCAACTGCCAACTGAGAGGTTGACAGTTTGAACCCATCAGTTGCTTTGTGAAGATGTGACACTCTGCTTCCATTACAGCCTTAGAAACCCTGTGAGTGTAGTTACAAGATCACTATGAACTGGAATGGACTGGACGACAATGGTCTCTGTTTGTGTGGGAATGCGGATCTGATTCTTTCTGGTTCCACCAATATCTCACTGTGGTATAAGGACAGCTGTCTTAATATGTTTGCCCAGTGAGCCTTTTGCCTGTGAGCATTTTGAAGATGTTGTTGTTGTTGTTATGTGCCATGGAGTCGGTTCTGACTCATAGCGACCCTGTACAGGGTTTCTGAGATTGTAAATATTTACGGGAGCAGAAAGTCTCATCTTTCTCCCACAGAACAGCTGGTAGTTTCAAACTGCTGACCCTGAGGTTCGCAGCCTGATTCGTAACCACTACACTACCACAGCTGTCTTATATGTTTGCCCAGTAGTAGCCTGTGAGCATTGGGTTTCTGAGGCTGTAAATCTTTATGGGAGCAGAACGCCTCATCTTTCTTCCATGGAGCAGCTAGTAGTTTCGAACTGCTGACCTTGCGGTTCACAGCCCAATTCATAACCATTACGCTACCAGAGCTCCTTATTTTGAGGATAGGGACAGTGTATTTGGCTATGTAATAATAATAACAAACAGATATTTGCTGGGTGCTTACTATGCTAGGCACTGAGCACTTTTATATCCCACTTTTCATCTACATTTTCATGGCATGGGTACTTTAAAAAAATACTCATTTCAATAAGGAGTCTTGCTCAACATCACATACCTGAAACTGGAGCTAGGATGAGAACCTAGCTGGGTGTGATTCCAAGTGCTAGGCTTCATGTTTGGCTGGCATTTAACAGGCACTCGGTGATGGCATTGTTGGTAAGTGCTGTCGGTTAAGTTCTGACTCACACAGACCCTGTATAGGATTATCTTACAGCGGGACAGCAGGACTCTAATTGTTTGGGGTTGTTATTAGTATCCGGCTCATACAGATCTTGTCTAGGGTGTCTGAGGAGCAGCTGAGGACATCAGCACTACAACGCTGGTGGTTCAAACCTGCCAGCCACTCCTTGGACACCCTAGACACGTTGCTGTGAGTTGGAAACGACTTGATGGCAGTTAACAACAACAAATTGGGGTAATGCAGTGTTTTTCACCTATGGGACTGATTTTCAGGGGCACAAGTCTTGCAAGGTGAAAAATTATTTTCTTTTTAGTTTCCTTTAATCCTTCTGATTATGTCCCAGAAAAAAAACTTAGTTTCTTATCAGAAGTTCTTTAACATCTAATACTTGACTAACCCTTTTAAACCAAGTCTTTAATCGTGAGGTGCTGTAGGGCTGGTACTGGACTGCTAACTGCAAGGTTGGCAGTTCAAACCCACCAGCTGCTCCTTGGAAACCCTGTGCAGGGTTACTATTAGTCGGCACGGACTAGATGGCACTTAACAACAACAGATAAAATGTAGTAACTCTTGTTTTCTTTGAACTTGGTGGTGGTGGGGTGCCATGGGGTCGGTTCCGACTCATAGCAACCATGCGTAGGGTTTCTGAGGCTGTAAATCTTTTCCCCAGGGGAACATCCAGTAGTTCTAACTACGGACCTTGAGGTTAGCAGCCTGACTCATAACTACTACGCTACCGGACCTCCTTTCTTTGCACTTAGTTCGATTTAATATTCTCTGGCACATGATACTAAATTTCCACTTATGTTACTAATATCAAATTTCTTCTTAAACCTGTTTGATTGCTTTTGTAACATTGGAAAGGACACCCCCTGCTGGACGGCTGGAGTGCTGAAGTGGAAGGGAAATTTTTACTTTATTATAGTCTACTGTACATTTACAATTTTGTGATCCAAAATGGAACAAACTTGATTAAAGTATTAAATACATAGTAGCATAGACGACAGAGTCCTGGTGTGTCACTGTGGGTTAATGAACTGAACTGCAAAGTCGGATTGAACCTCAAGGTTGGCTGTTCAAGCTCACCAGTCGCTCCTCAGAAACCCTATCTAGGGTCGCTATGGGTTGGAGCCGACTTGATGGCACTTAATAAACAACAAGAGTAGACGGCGGGTGTGGCGTTGCAGGATAATGGACTGGCCCGAAAGGTCGGTTTGAGTTGCAAGGTCGGCAGTTCTAACCTCACCTATCCAAACCTCACTTCTCGGAAATCCTATACACGGTTGCTATGAGTCGGAATCGACACGAAGGCACTTAACAACAATAGCAACAAGCAGGGAAAAGATAGCAAAACCCGTGAAGGTCTTTTGAGAACAAATGAAGCTAAGGAAACGTGTGTCAAAAACTTAGATGTGAAGCGGGGACCGAGTTGTCTAACGCTGAATTCCTTCTCTGTCAGGGCTCTTCCCCTTGGCTAGAGAATCCGTCTGCGCACGCGCAGACTCTCAACCAGCTATCTCTTCCTCGAATCTGCTTTCCATTCCGGCCCGAGAGCGCGCGAACACACGTACGCACGCGTGCTCGGGAACGCGCACGTACATCGCGCGCGAGCCAGCCCAGCGAATCCCGAGGCGGTGGGGCCCGGGTTGTTTTGGTTCCGGGAGGTGATGCCTGGGAAGGCGGGGAACATGGAAGAAGCCCAAGCGGGCGCCGAGGAGTCGGGGGCCGAAGAGTACGGCCCTGAAGAGCACGGCCGGGAGGACTCAGGCGGCGAGGAGTCCGGCCCGGAAGAGTCGGACGCAGAGGAGTTGGGCGCCGAGGGGGACATGGAGGCGGGGCGGCCGCGGCCGGTGCTGCGCTCGGTGAACTCGCGCGAGCCGTCTCAGGTCATCTTCTGCAACCGCAGCCCGCGCGTTGTGCTGCCAGTGTGGCTCAACTTCGACGGCGAGCCGCAGCCCTATCCGACGCTGCCGCCGGGCACGGGCCGCCGCATGCACAGCTACCGAGGTACGCGGGCAGGGCGTTCCTTTGTCCCAGTGCGGCGAGCACCGTAAGGAAAGAGCACCCCCGCCCTGGGCCCCCCCACCATCCTGGGAGGCAGGTGCCGTTACCGTTCTGATTCCCGCTTTACGGATGAGAACCGAGGCCCAGAGGAGGAATAGATCCAGGGAGATGCTGCTAGTAAGTTGCAGAGCGTTCTTGATGAGACGGAATAGTTGGCCTTGGAAGATGACCGGTAATCCCCCAAGGGGCCCTGGTGGCGCGGTGTCTTAGGCGTAATGCTAACCGCGGTTCGAACCCACCATACGATCGAAGGAGAGGAATTTCCAGCCTCAGATACCCTAGGGGCACTTCTGAGCTGATCTTTATGTTCGCTGTGGGTCTGGTTTGGGCTCTCCCCAAAAGCAGTACCTCTCCTCCCTAATGCCCGCATGTGGGAGCGGGAGGCGGACGTCTGCATAGACACGCAGAAGAGACTGGACCCTGAGGGGTTCCCTGTACAGGAGACCTGCAGAGAGAACAGGAGCCACCCCACCAGAGGAGTGGGCAGTAATAGGCAGAGGGAGCAGGCTGGACAAAGATCTGGCGCCTGGGAGGAGGGAGGAGGGTGTGGGAGGTAGGAGAGGATCCCTGCAGGTGAGTGTCCTGAAATGACCTTGTCAGATTTACCTAGTGAAAAGCAGTTAGTAAGCTGTTGTAGTAACCCAGGGGAAGGACAACTAGGTAAGAACTAAGGCAACAGAGATGCAATCCCAGTTTATGGTGACCCCATGTGTTTCAGGGTAGAAATGTGCCTTTGGGTTTTGGGTTTTCTTGCCTGAAATCTTGACAGAAGCATATTGCAGGCCTATCTTCTGTGGTGACACTGAATGGTTTCAGACCCATTAGTAGCGGAGCCCAAACTATGCTAACCAGCCTCCTGAGATAGTCCTGTTGTTGTTAGCTACTGTGGGTAGCAGATCGCCAGGTCTGTCTGCTGAGGTGCCTTGGTGGGTTTAAATTGCTAACCTTCTGCTTAGTTGTTACAGTTAATGTCTTCCAATCATTTGTGCCAGCCAGGAACTCCCTGGAAGTATAGTTCTTTATTGTTAAGTGCCATCTAGCCAGTTCTGACTCACAGCGACCCTGTATAGGGCTTCCAGGGAGCCCCTGGTGAGTGTGAGCCACCAACCTTGTTGCAGTCCAGTGCTTATCCTAGAGCGCCACACCGGGACTCTTCTCACTTAATTTTCACACTCATCTTACGAGGATCCTAATGGATCTCTTTTTTCTTATACTTAATACGTTAATGCTTCTCAAACGTTTACACCAGACTTTCCTTAATATTTGGTGAAAGAAGAACACAGGTCTTCCAGGGATCAACATTTTTGTAATCTCCCATTTTTAAGTAAAAAGTTGCATAAATTTTGTGCTCTCCAAAATTTGTTACTGATTTAATATAAAATATTAATTTTCCACCAAATCTTCAAGTAAGTTTATGCTCCAGGAACATGGACTGTTTATGCAGGGACAACCTCCACTTCCTTAAACAGTCTTAGGCCCTGGGGGTTTACCTTCTATCCTCTCCCCACTCCTTTTCTCCCTCTGTGTAGTCCCACCCTAATGATACCTTTGCTTTTCACAATCAGGTATCATTTACATAGAGTAAAATGCACAGATCTTAGGGTTTGATGAGGTATAACAAATGTGGCAACACCTAGATCAAGTTATCAAATGGGACATCTCCATCTTCTGCCCTTCCACTCACTCACCTCCCTCCTAGATCCCACCACTTTTCTGAATTTTCATACTAGAGATTCATTTTGACTGTTTTTACAGAGTGCACTCTTTCCTATCGGACTTCTTTCTTTCAACATAATGTTCTTGTACCTCCTCAAATTTATTTTGTTTTTGTTTTTTAGTATTTCTTTTTAGTGTGATAAAGATAACAGAAAATTTCAGCCTTTTTCACACAGTTCAGTGCCATTAATTGCCTTTACCTTATTCAACTCCACATTTTTGAGAAGCATAGGTTTGGGGAGACAGTGGCCTTCTTTCTTATAGTTTGCACTGTTTGGTATTATCTGCAATCCTGTGCTCCAGGTAGGCTTTGCTTTTCTACCAAGGTAGCAGAAAGGGTGTGTTTGAGATTTGGAGCTGTATACTCTTATGCATACTGTCTGCATTGCCTAGAGCTTTTTCAAGCTTATTTCCTCATCTCTAAGGGGATCTAAGGGGACTCAGATTATGTATGAATTGAAGCAAAGTGAGAGGGAATCGTTCTGGTGGAAATCGGTGCCGTGACTTAGACCATGGGGGCTGCGTAACAGCCTCTGCTTTCTGCTTGTCCTAACAGGTCACCTTTGGCTCTTCCGTGATGCAGGGACCTACGATGGGCTTCTGGTTAACCAAACTGAGTTATTTGTGCCATCTCTCAATGTTGATGGACAGCCTATTTTTGCCAACATCACACTGCCAGGTACTGGTTTTCATTCTTTTAAAAAAGATAAGGTTATTTGTTGAAATAAATAGAGGCTAGGCCACTTGAAGAATCAAGTCCTTATGGATTTTTGCCAGATGCCAGATAAGTGTCCATCCTTCCTGTGTCCTTTTGACTCCATATGTGGAATGCAAAGTCATGTGATTTCTGTGTTTTCTATTAAACAATGCTGTTGTTTCTTAAGAGCTCTTTGGGCTCTTCCGAGGTGACTAAATTAAAATACTTGATTGTAGAACGTTTCCATGACCCTAGAGCAAAATTGTGCCCACACAGTCCTAGGAGACAGAGGGCAGCTTGTTTATAAACCAACCAGGGATTAACAGAAAGTCACTGAATTGAAAAGGAGCATTATACTTTACTATTTGTTTATGAAGGACGTTGCACCTGATCAACAGAATGGCATTGACCATCCGAATGGCATTGCAGCTATCCCCAGTTGACACTGAATGGGTCCTGCTGGAGCTTCCGATCTCCTTGGAAGCTTGGGTCTTTGTTACACCTGGAGACCCA